GTAAGGTATCTTTACTGCTAATTGGAGGTATCTTGGAAAATGCGGTAGAAATTTTCCAGCCTCCTTTATACTGAGTTAATTGAGGCACAGTCTCTCTGAGCTATCTGAAACGTTTTTCCCCAGATTTCTCTCCACCCGGGCTAAGTTGCTGTTTATGAGATAAGCTGCCAACTGACTCACTCTTGACTGTGTCATGGTCTCTTCCATTCCTTTCTCAGCCTCCCTACTATTTAGGAATTACTTTTTTTCTACTGTGTTTATGCCCCAAATGATGCATGGAGCTATTCACTTTCTTCCAGATAGAAGAAGGAATCAACCAAATTTAAGAATCCATTCCCAAAGCTTTCATTCGTCTTAATAACTGCTCAGATTGTATAGAAAGGGCAGGCTCATTTTCTGTCTCAGTTATCAAGGCTCCCAAGATTGGCCCAGTCATCACTACCGGACTCTGGGTGAGCATCCTTCCCTAGCTAATGTTGGAAGTAAAATTGCTAAGCTGGCATTGAACAGAAGCAGAGAGATAACCAGTGACAAGAATGAAAGCGAGAATCTCAAAGCACTTGTTTACTGTGCAAGTTACTTCCCAAACTGATTCTTCAAATTAAAAATACAAGACCTGCTGTGCTGCAGTTTGGTCTGTAGCCCATGTCTCTTGCTAGCTATGTCAATCATATTTTGTTATTAAGAATTGATATTTGGGGAGGGTTAAGTTTCCAAACAATCCTTGTTCTGGAACCTGCTGATTTTTCCCCACCTGCTCCGCTCGTTGTGAATCCGCGACCATGTGGACAAAGCTTCTTAAAAGCGACAGTGCCAAAGAAAGGGCAGATCTCACAGTTGGGTCCCCATCCTCGCCCACCATCACAGCAACACTCAGATTTTGTCACAGGATTCCTGTTGCTCGATCCAATCTGACACATACTATGTAAGATTTCAGTGAAGCAATAGCCTTCTCTGTTGTCTGCAAAGCAAATGGATGTTGGTTGGAAAACATTGGAAGGAAAACTCCTAGCAAATGCAGGGCAGGACAGGGATTTTGAAGCAGGCATATAAAAGGAAGAGCATACTTAGCCATAATTAGGAATTGTAACAGGAAAAATGAAAGCCAGGCAGCAGTAAGAAAGAAGGCATGATGTCTGAAGAAAGAAAAGAGAAGAAAAGACACTGAGTGAGGAAAAAAATGTTTAGGAAACTCTGCTGTGATGATCAAATCTTCAGAAAGAAAAGATGGAGGTGTAATCAGAGTTAGAATATTCCAAATAATTGTTACATAACAGCAGAACAATCCAGAGCTGGTTGATATATAAAGAAAAAAACAACATTGATGGGGTAGGTCCACTGCAAATTGAACCTTCCTCATAAATCCAGTCTACAGCTTCCTTTCTAGCAAGAGAACTTATGTGCATTGTGTAGGAAGGAAAAGTGCCGTGGGTGTGCAACACACGCATGTGTGTGAAAAGACCATGATGATTCCAGGAACCATCAGATCTGTATAGATGCCATTTCCACCCCATACCACACCAACTAATTTCACGCCTAAGGCTACCAGTTTGTATATTCAGCTGCCATTTCCTAAATACTGCACGGAATAATTGTGAATATGCATGTTTGAAGTTGCCCACAATTAATTTTGTGATGGTACACGCTTCATAATGTTTTTATCACTGAAGGAGCTCCACTGTACTGGTTTTTCAGCCCCCCTCCTGTTCTTTCCTTCATATCCAGTAACTTCCCACAGTGACTTTAGACAGTGGATTTTAATTTAAGTTTAGTTTATGTGCTAATTCTTATCAGAGTTTATGAACTCAAGGAATACTGCAAACAAGGAATTAAGAATATTTATTCTCCCACCCTACTTTTGTATCGCTCTAAATACATACCTATGCATTCATTCTGTGCTTCATTGACAATGAAACCATCTTCACATTCACATCGGAAGCTTCCTTGTGTATTTACACAGCGTCCATTTTCACACAACCCAGGTTTAGTTTGACATTCATTTTCATCTGTTTTAAAGATATATCCGAATGCATTATTAGCTTATTTAGTTCAACATTTATCAGAAGAAACAAAAAAACCCCTGTTCATTCCAAAATAATAAATACTTATACCTTTTTAAAAAGGTAATAAAAATATGTGATTCCTACAAATGGAAAATTAAATGCAACTAAGTTACTTTAGATCCAACCCTATAATCTTATCTATATGGGTAGGTAGGAGAGAGAGGAATTTTTAAACTCCTGGACCATTAAAAAAATTCCCACTGGAAATAATTGTGAAAACTGAAATAACAAGATGATTTTTTAGAGGATCACTCACCTATGCAACCTTCACCATCTGGTCTGCGCTGAAATCCTGGGCCACATATGCACATGTATGTACCTATCAGGTTTTTGCAAGTCATGTCCTTTGAATCACAGTCATGAATTCCTTCTTCACATTCATCCTGATCTGAAAGTATTACAGAATTGGATATTGACAACAAGACATTGAAGTTCTTAATATTTTTAGAAGCAACATCCTCAATATGTTACTGTATTTATATCAAACTAGTAAGCTTGTCTCTGCATTCCTTTGAAAGGATCCATATAAAAATAATTTTCCACCACCAAAATTAAGGAGGGGAATACAAGTGAAATTCAAAAAGATCTGCTGGAGTCATTGAACCTCAATATCCTGTGATATACAATGAATGAAAACTATTTTAAAAATGTTTTTCAAGGTGGGAGGAAAGGGAGGGGTAAGATAAGTTGCCCTCCTTTTGTTTACAGATGTTTCTCATCACAACATGTACATCATGATTAATGAGGTAGGCTCTGCATTTGTTTTCTCTTCCTCTGTTAAGTAAGAAGCCGCTTTTTATGGTTCCACCAAATTGGAACCATTAGTCTCTGAAGAGCATTATTTCAGTTTCACAAGGAAAGAAGCAGTTTCGTTAAGAGGAAACTTTAATGGAGACTGTTCCAATTAATTTGGTCTTAGTCTGTGATCAGCCTTATTTGTATACAGTAAGGGTTCTACCTCTGCACATTCGCTTGTCTTCTCTGAGGACATAACCTGCGGGGCACTTGCATTCATACGAGCCATATGTGTTCACACATCGGAAGGCACAGAGGAGAGGATTCTGAGCGCATTCATTCACATCTGTCAAAATAAACAAACCCGTCATTTGGGGAACAATGCTGAACCTATTGTATACCTTTCCACATGTTCTCCTGCTCTTCAAACCAAACTCCTTCCAGGGACCTGAAATGTTTCTTCTCCTGTTAAATGCTCCCAACTGCCTTACCCCGGCATCCATGTGCCATTAATTCACTTTCACCATTCAACTGTTCAAAAAATGGGAGCAATTATGAGAAGAATAAGGAAGGGATAATTGTGCTATGACTTCAGCCTCACCAGGATGGAGGAGAAATTCAATTATTCCAAAGCACTTAATTTACACCTGCTATTAACCAAAGCACACGTGCAAAAACGTGGGGAAAAATACATGGTAAGAGGAGAGCCATGTTAGTCTACAGTAGCAAAAAATCAGTAGGAGTCTAGTAGAAACTTTTCCAGCTAATAATCGGTATTAAAAGGTGTAAGCTGTCTACCGTGATTTCAGATCCGTATCTCATGTGGCTACAATAGGTACTGTGAGTTTCATATTGTGCTGATGTATGCCTTGATTATTTTAGAAGATTAGATTGAAACAGCATAAAAGGAGTTACAAATAAATTAACAAATGTATGCCCCCATCCATACTTTTCAAATGCCCCGATAGAGTTTGCAATTCAAAAAAGTGTGAGCAGACCCCTATCAGGAGAATAATATGTGCACAAAGAGATATACATATAGAAATGTGTTCTTCCTAGAAGAAATGCCAGGCTGTCATTTTTCCCTATGCCGCAAGTGTAGAATGTAAATAGTAGACTTGACCACCAAATATGAATTTAAATTTAGCCTTTCCCACTGTTGGGAAGAGATCTAAGAGGACAGGTATAAAATATTATCTGCCTCTAAAGCAGAGATGTGGTTCAAAAAAAAACTACGGGCTCTTATCACTCATGGACTACTGAGAAGCATAAATGAGAAGATTGAAGGAACGTATGCACTATTTCCTAAAAAGTCACATTTACCTTCACATGTCACCATTGGTCCTGGCTCAAAACCTTCCTCACAAGTGCACTCAAAACTTCCAATGATATTCTTGCAAGTGCCATTTCCACATGGACTTCCAACAGCACATTCATCAATGTCTACAATTAATAAAAGCAAGTGAAAACACAATATGTGTAACCTAAGAAAATTAGAGATATGTATCAGAAAAACCAGGAAAAGGTAAGATAGACAGGATTTATTTAGCCCTAGAAAGCTAATAAATTCTAATAAGTATCTTTGCTCACCAACACATTCAGTCCCTTGAAGCAGGTAGCCAAATGGACATTCACAGCGGAAGGAGCCATCGGTGTTGATACACACTCCATTCTTACAATTGTCTGGATCCTGACACTCATTCGCATCTTAGTCCCAATATTAAGCAGGCAGGAAGACAAAAGAAAAAAAAACAATCTTGTTTCAAACAGTCCTAATATGATTAATAAATGCAAGGTGAATAGTAATAGAATACCAGCATAGCATATTTTGTATCAATCTGTTGTCCCCTGGAAAATGTTTTGAGGCTCGCTTATAGTTCTTAAGGAGGAATTCTGCAGAGGACCTTCTCGGAATTTCTGCTACAATATCAGGTTGAGGAATACCCTCTTTGTCAATATAATATATATTGAGGCAAACATCCAAACTTCTCCCCATGAACAGAATGGGTAGGAACAGCAACATTGGATCTAAAGGGTTAGATCTAAAAACTTCATGCTTTTCCAATGCTGGCAATTTGTTTATTTCACAAAGCAAGGGAGATACTCAAATTAATAAACAGGAAGGCATAGAGAGCACTAAGAACATCAGAGTGGAGAGATTTTTAGACGTGATAAAAAAGCTATCTTAAAAAAAAATAATGAGGAGGACCATCAGAGTACAATAAAGCTGCAAGCTACGTTCACTTACCAATGGGCTCACCCCGTGGACCAACCAGAATGCCAATTCCAAATGGGCAAATTTGCTTATAAGCTTCTGTTAAACAAATGCAAATATGAAACTGTAGAAAATCAACCAAATTCTTTTGTTTTACACAGTACATGTAAATCAGGTTCCAGTTTGTTTTTTATATTCTTTTCAATCACCAAACTCTTGTACAGGTTCTGTAATTAACATAGAACCTTTACTGCCTACTGCACTAATTAGAAACATGAATATCCAAGAAGTATTCATTTTATAAGTCTGAAGAAAACTCAACTTATACAAGGTTTTTACTTTGTCCTTTTTAGAAAATAATTCATTTCTCCTTTCGCTTAATACCACGCACTGCAATAACCGTGCAAGAGGTGCTATACATACCATCTCCTTCTTGTGGACAAAGCTCACAGGGATCGCCCCATCCTTCTCCTTGCATGTTACAGCAGCATTCTTGCTTAGAATGGTTTCGGGACTTGGGGACTGAACATTTTCCATCTTCAAATTTAGTGAAGCAGTAGCTTACCCTCAGATCTAAATAATTAAGAACATGACATCCATTAGGCACTTTATTAAAAGGAGATTTTCAGTGAAAGGGCAAAGAATGTCTTGCAAATTACTGATGAACGAAGTACACTGTATTGAAGTTTACTGAAGTTATTGTTGTTCTTCATACATGGAAGGTCCTTTCCTAAGCCGCCTTCTCAGGTTTTGTTTTGTGACTGACCACCCCTCTCAGCCCTGACAGTTATTTTGCGAATCAACAAATTCCATCCATAGCATCCTGAATACCCACAGCATCTTCCCTAAATTCCAAATAGGTATATACTATGCTCTTACAATCATTACTGAGAATACCTATGTTCATTCCAGTCATATCTAGCAAAAAAGTAAGATCTGTATGATGTTATGATGATCAGTTGTTGTTGACTACACTTAGTAGTTTATATAGCTACTTTGATATATATGAAGCATATAACTGGTTAAATGGTGAAGGAAATATTGAATTATGGACAAGCATTTTCATTTACCATCTATTCTCTTATAGTTACTTCAAGATAAATGGAACTCTTGGTCCCACTTATCTTGAACTAATAAAGATACAAATTGTTCCATTTATCTTTATATCCTAGTATTAACTCCATAAGTTGATGAAGAAAACAGAAGTTTCCTTGCTGTGAATTTCTGGCCTTCAGAATCTTATGGAAGGTATTCTTTTAGAGCAATGAGGTTCTCAACTCCATTCTTAACTTAAAATTCCAATTTCACCAAAGGGTGTGTGCTACATTCTATTAATCACCTACCTAGATCACATCTTAATAAAGGGTGGAATTAACTCCAGGATTCCTTATCTACCACGCTTAAGTGCACAGCTTTGGCTGACTCCTAAGAATCCCCACCCACCTGCAAATTTAGGAATGCCCTCATTTAGACTCTGGAGAAAGATAATTCAATTCAGTAATCATAAAATATTTGCCTGGCTATTCTGGTTTTAATAAATGAATCAGCTACATTATTCTGTTTAATTGTTGCATTCCAATGCTATAACCACTAATCCCCAACAGCTGGAACAGCACACAGTTTCCAATTAAATTCTGGTTCTAATTTTGCTATAGTTAACATACTTGATAGAAGCTTCCAAGCTTAAATTCTCACTTATTATTTTATACAACATATAGATCAATAGCTTTCTGATGCCCTGTAATTTCAGATTTTTTTTCCTGACTGACTCCTCCACCCCCGCCCCCCAATTTCCAAAAATTCCTGGAAAACTATAGTAACTGAGAATTGGCTTTGAAGCAAGCAGAGAGATAAACTGGAAGAAAAATGTTCCTTTTTTGTATTATTTCAGATTTCCAATGTGCCTTTAATGATGGTTGATGTCAGCCTTTTGTGGTAAGCCAGGTCAAGATACAGGCACAGCAGAGATTCCAGGAATGCTCTTTATTTATTAAGGGAGAATAACAGAATCTTGAAAACCTGTCCAAGTTTCTCTCTGTCCCATCTTACACTAAACAAAATCAAAGGCAGGACTTTCTCACACTTCTTTCTTTCTCAAGATTGTGTAACTTTTTCTTCAAGACGCCCCTTTGACAGCCTGCTCATTCCTTCCCCAAAGTCAACACTACATTCCTTCATTTATTTATTTATTTGACTTAGACACCAACTCCAATCGAATCTTGGCAGCTCACAGCATAAACCACTTTATAGTCATGAAGCACACTGAGTGTGTGAATACCCAGTTATTGGGGGATAATGATTCAAGTTGGAAAGCCAACTGTGAGGCAGCTTCAGCATTACTGTAGAAGTGGATAAACTTTTGAACCAGAGAGGAAACCTGTGAGAATTTGCATCCTTGTGAGCAATCGCATACTGGTAACAAGAAGTAAATGTGGCCTCTTATAACAGAGAAAAGAAGAAAGAAGAAAGGGAAAAATCATGAGATGAAGTACATAAGGAACTGGGTCTAATTCTCTTCTGTTTGGTAATAAAAGAGACCAAGACTTGCCCCACGCTAACTGACTATATTTATGGTTGTTGTGTTTTCGAATGAGTGACTGACTTTTCAACTTTAAATTATCAAAAGG